TAAAACACCTGAATAAATAGGGGATATTCATGTTTCTGACTTGGAAAACATATTGTAGGGATGCTGACTTTTCTCACATTAGACTATTAATTCAGTGAAACACCATTAAAAAATCATACTGTAAGTTTTGTTGAACACAACAAGCTTATTCTATGATTTACCTGCAATTATGAATCTGCTTGAATGGCCACGGACATTTTGAACCATAAGATTAATGAGCAATAACTTGCTATCAAAACATAAAATAAAATTATGATACTAAATGGTGTGGGTTTCATGCAGGGATACAAAGATCAGCAGAACAGAACAGACTTGTATAAAAATTTATATTAGATAAAGTAGCATGTCACATAATCAGGGAAAGAACAAACTTTTTGATAAATGGATGTGGGATAACTAACTAGCCATTTTGAGAAAAACAGGTAGATTTTGATTTCCCATCTGTGCTGATGTCTTGGGCTTGCTTCTCCAGATGCCATCCCCATCCTTTGGCACCCTGGTCTCTGCCCGAGAGGGGAATCAATATAAACTATATTAATATCAGTGGACTCCATCGTCCTGAGAATTGGAGCCAGGCCAAAGGGGAGGACTAGCAGGAAATCTGAGGAAGGGAGTTGGGATCCCTATAACCTCAGGCCAGGTGCTTCCCTTCACCAGAAGTCTCAGCTCCTGAAGGTAATGGTCTCCTCGGCTCTGGGCTCTGTCCTCTCTTTCCCCACCTCGTGCTTCTTCTGTTCTGGGTGGTGAGAGCTCCTCCCACTGTTTTTGTGGTCACACAATTGTAAATAGACCCTTTATTAAACTGACCCTATGGCGCCTCAATTTGAGCTTACCCTCTGTTTTCTATTGAGACTTGTTTGTAGCATATCATTCACAAAAGTAAATTTCAGGAAGATTAAAGACCTAAATTTATTATAAAATTTATAAAAATATTAAAACGATGGGAATATATGTATAATCTTGGATGTAGGAAGGTTCTTTTTAAAATAGACACAAATCAAAATTCATAAGGGAAAGGATGGATAGATGAGATTAAAATCAAGATTTTAATTTTCTGGATGACTAGATACCCATAAGCAATGTTTTTTAAAAAGGTAGAAAAAATATTTGAAATGTATAACAAAGCATTATTATCTGGAATATATAAAGATCAATTTTACATATAAGTACATTTAAGTATATAAAATTATATATGTAAATATTTTTACATAAAATATTTTATATAATTATATAAAAAATACTTTAAAATCAATTTTTAAAAGCTACATCATTAGAAAAATAGGCAAGAATATGAACAGGCCCTTCACAGAAGAGGAAACAGAAATGGAATATATATGAAAAGATTCTTAATATTACTAGTAAGCAGGAAAATGCAAATTAATGTAATATACCATTTTTTAAAACTATTAGATGGGTAGATCTTTAAAGATTGATAATACCAAGAGTTATTGAGTCAATATGGAAGCAGGCTCTCTTGTTCATAGTCAGAGAAGATGTTTAAGTTGTCAAACTTTATAGAGGAAAATCTGGCAATGTCTATTAAAATTATAAATGTGTATCCCTTATGATCCCATATCTTGGCATCTACCAGGGATAAAAACTTGCATATTTGCTCAAAGGCGCATCTACAAAGGATGCTCATCATAATATTATTTGCAATAACAAAAAACTGGAAACAATCTAAATGTCCATCAACTATGGAATAACTAACACATTCCCACTATACATGGTTTGCAACAGTTTTTAAAAAGAGGTAGAGCTATATTTTCTGACCTGGATATCTCTCCAACACATCTTATTTAGTGAAAAGCCATCCAAATTCAGTACATCACGTAGACCATGAAACCATTTGTGTATATTTAAATTTCCACAAAAATGAAACTATGTTCTTTTATCCTTATCTGCATATAGCATAAGATAAATCTAAACAATAAATACCAAATTGATATATTTGCTACCATTGGGTAGGAAACGCTGAGATTCATTAGGGGCAATGTCAGGGTTGGTTTTTTTTTTTTTCACTTCTTCTGTATTCTGTATTTCACTATTTTCTGTATTATTTGAAATGTTACAATGTAAATGTATGTACATCTTATCTTGAAAACTATTAATTCTTCAGTGAATAGTTTTAGCTTGTATTAGTTCCTTCAGAAGAAACAAAGAAAAGGAAGAACATGGGGTTTTAGAGTTATATGGATGTGTGACTTCAAGAAACTTGTCTAGCCCTGGCCAGGTAACTCAGTTGGTTAGAGTGTCGGCCTGATAAGCCAAGATTGTGGGTTTGATCCCTGGTCAGGGCACATTACAAGAATCAACCAGTGAATGCATAAAGAAGTGGAACAACAAATCAATGTTTCCTCTCTCTCTCCCTCCCTCCCTTCATCTCTCTAAAATCAATGAATAAAAATTAAAAAAAGAAATTTGTCTAATTCCCTGAAACTTGAATCTTCATTTGTAAAATGGGGGAGTTGTTGTGAAGATTAACTTAGATAAAACCTGTGAGCTGTGCAGCTGTGTTCCTGGTACAGAGAAAGTATTGGTTGACTTTTGCTCTCTCCTGCATTTGGCCCATGAGAACCTCAAGGGCCAAAAACATACGTCAGTTGCCTATACATATCATGCGTATGCAGATAGAGCTCAGTTACATTTGCTGAAAGAATGAGTGAATGCACAAGCCACATTGCTTAACTGGTAATAAATAAATGTATGTTCACATATGTTCATTGTTAATGGGTAAACGAGAGATGCCTTTCTGGCTTCCACCAGGGAGATCAAATGCTCTGGTTTGTGAGAACAAGAAATCATAGAAAAACAGAGATCTAGGTGAGAGTAAGGTTTTTAGAGTGGAAAGACTCATCACGTAGATCTGATGTTTTCCAACTTTCTTCTCCAGAGCCCCAGGCCCTGCAGAGGGATAGGGCCACCATGGGCAGGGGCGTGGGTGCTAGAAAGCCAAACTGAGACCTCGTGTTCAGGCTGAGAGATTGGACATACTAATGGACAATGGGCAGACCATATATGACAATGACAATAGAAATCTGACCCCGACCTTTGCAGCAACTGGCCTGGGAAGCCAAACCACAACCTCTAAAGCTATCAGCCCAGAACGTTTAGGACTTGGTCAATGACTGCCCACTTCTCTAACCCCTCCCCCCCTCCCGCCCCACTGCCTCCTCTATTTTTAAGTCATGACCAACCAAAGAAAGCCAAATGCACTCTCCAAACCAATTGCATAAGAGGCCGCACTTCTAGCTATCCCCCTTTCTGCTCCCCCATGCCAACAACCTCCGACCAGAACATACCTGCAGTCTTTCCTCTTTTCACTCTAAAGCTTTTCCACTCCTCTGCTGCCTTTGAGTCTCTGCCAAATGCTAGTGATGATGGTCGCTGACTCCCTTGATATACAGCAAGCTCTGAATAAACAGATTCTGCGTGTTTTCGTTTCAGTGGTCTCTTGATTTCCACAAGGTCTTCTCCCACATTTCTACTAGATACTAGATATATGTTATATATTAAGTTTATATGTAAAATTTCATTTTAAAACTTCTAGTTGCTATTTTTAAAACAAATCTCCAATGTAAATTAACACCAAGAGCTAAAGTTCTACTGCTAATTTTTTTTTTCAAATCACCAGTGTAATTAATGCCAAGAGCCAAACTTCTCAAGGAATCTGAGGAAGGATGCTCAGCTTGCATTAAACTAAAAAAAGAAACAGATGATGCCCAGACAGAGCAGCAAAAGAGAGGGCTGAGTCTGGACAGGGGACAGAGGTTCCTAGAGATCTCTGTGGGGTTTTTTCCATAAGTCAGGCCCAGCTGAGTCCGGAAACTACAGGGATTGGAGTGGGGAGGTGAAAGCCTTCCTTAGCATACTCTCCTGGGGGCTGGCCTGGTGTTAACCACATTTGTAATTCTGTTGAAATGTCCACATGCCAGAGATGCAGACAAATAAACCAAATACATGAATAAGGCCTTGGGTGGTTTAAAGAAGAGGAAGACGGTTGGGAAGGTCCCAGCCCCTACCTCCATGGGAAAGACTTCTCAGATATTGGAATTGGAGCCTTGGTCATCTAACCATGACTATTGTATATCTGAATTCCTAAAATTCTCACCGTCACTCTATACATTCTGTAAATCTATTTAAAATAAGTCATTCCTAGTTTCTAAAGCTGGTGAATGTCAGTGGATGTCTCAGTAGAAAAGGAGCTTTGCATCAAGTAAGTCTGGGGAATGCTGGATGAAACCAAGTTAAACAGATTTCGTTGTAGCAGGATTTTGTAAAACCTTCAACATGATAACATATGCTGTGAATGTGCAAGAAGAAGATACAATATACAGCATTTTTCAAACTTGTTTAACCACAGAAGTTGATTTCTTGCCCATCTATTTACATCTCCCTGAACACCACTCTATGGCATACAGTTTTGGAGACACCGTTTTGAGATAATGCTACCTCTCAGAGGAAAACTATTAGCTGGTTAACACTTCTGATCATTTATTGTAACTTACCAAAAGGAAAACCAGGAGGTCCCCTAGGAAGTGGCACAAGAGGGCAATTTTGATGGGAGAAGGTAAAACATAGGATCATAAAGCAGAGCTGGAGGCTAATGGAGTTTACAGTTGGGTCTCAGGTCAGCCTGGCACAGATTAAGGTTACTAGTTATTAGATTCCAGATGGAGAAAGTCAAAGATTATCCTCACCTGGTTTGTAATTTTTCTTGACCAGCCATAGTAGCATTATCTCTAGGAAGATAGAGAGTGGCCAGGAGAATCACTGTATTAGGTGAAAATCAAGATTTCGGCAAATGATTCTTTTATAGCACTTTACCAATGATGGCCTCCAGTCCCATTTTGGAGTGGAGATAACTGAGGGCAGAGAAATGATGCAACCTGCCTGATGGCCCAGCAAAGCCACTTCTCTTTCTGCAACCACACCATGAAGCCTTTGGTGGACCGCAGGGGAGGGGAGTGAAGTGTGATGAGAATTCCATGCTCACTTACTTTAGAATGACACAGCCCGTTCCTGCCGGCGGTGCTATCCAGAACACCTGGATCCGTGTCCTCCTCCGTGGGGTGCTTTCCGTGACCGCGACAGGGCAGTTACTCATAAACTGTGTTTCTTCTTCATCTATGATCTATGGAAAACCAGCGGAAAATGAACACATTAAAATGTGCTTCGTTTTGGGAAGGCTCTTATGTTTCTGAGTTGACACTTCCTTCATTTTATTTTTAAAGCTGTCATTTTGTGTTAGCAGCTCTCGATCTCCAGACACCAGAGTAGTGCCTGGCGTAGAGTCCCAGTCACTGCTTGTTGGATTAACAAGAGGGCAAGGACTGGGCATATGTCCTATGCTCTCCAGGACCGGGATCTTGGGTCAGCACTTTGAGGATCAGGAAACTAGGGGATGATCTTGCTCATTTCACTAAGATAAGCCGTGTCCCACTTCAGGGAAGGGAGAGGAGAACGGGAAAGAGAAAATTCAAAGCAAACACTCTATAGGGCTAGTTGTAACGCAGCAACAATTTTATAACTTGAAATTAAAGTGTTATAAGAAAACACCCCTTTGGAGAAGTATCACAAATTACATGAAGTTCCCCAGCTTCGCAGCACTGTTTTCCCGTGGTCTCTACTTTGTTTCTTTTAAAAAAATGATTTTAGAGGGAAAGGTAGGGGGAAGGGAGAGAAAGAGAAACTGGTGTGAGAGAGAAACATCGATCAGCTGCCTCCTGTAAGAGCCCTGACCAAGGATCAAACCTGCAAATTTTTGGTGTACGGGAGGACACTCCAACTGACTGAGCCACCAAGCCAGGGCTCTCTACTTTCTTAACTTGTACATGAGATTAGTATTGTCCCAAGTTAGCCATCAAGGTTTCCAATGGCACTGCAAAAAAAGCTGGTAGCCATTCCCATTCCCCAAGGCTGCCTTCAGCATTTCTCCTGCTTGCTTCTGGGTCTGCTGCCAGTACTTGCCTATTCATTTTAGTAGAGCCATAGACTATGGATCTTTTGGGGAATCATCTAAATTCAATTGGTCTTAAGTGCCAACTCCAGTTGACTGGTATGTCATGAGGAGTGTTAATAACATTAATGGATGACATTTATTGAGTGTTGAGTACGAGCCAGGCACTAAACTAAGTGCTTATCTGAATTACTCATTTAATCTTTAAATATAATCTAATAAAACTATTAAACCCATATTGTACTTGTTTCACTTTTTTTTTAAAAAAAAAATCCTCTTCCTTTTAGCACAACAGGTTAAAAAAAAAAGGCACTCAAACTCCTTAATTCATCATATATTTTCTTCACTGGACAAAGCCAAGGCAGTTGTCTATTACATTTGTTTATCTCTGTATTCTTTACCCTGTTCCCATTTCCCTCCTCTATTTAACACTTACTCCTAAATATTTAATATATGTCCTTCTGTGTGTGTGTGTGTGTGTGTGTGTGTGTGTGTGTGTGTGTGTGTGTTACTTACTTGAAGTTACATAGAATTGTTTTGTATTTTAAGGGTGTTATTTTTCACTTAACCTTATGCTTTTGGGATATGTCTGTGTTACTATATTTGAATGTAATTCATTGATTCTGTTGCCTAGTATGCCATTACATGCATAGACCACATTTTATCTATCCACTCTCCCAGGGAGGAGCACTTAGCTGACTTCCGGCTCTTTGCCTCCAGAAACATTGCTGCAATGGGTCCTCATGCTGTTCTACTTGTAAACGCACATGGGAGTGTCTCAGCAACATAAACCATGTAGTGGGATTGCTGGGCTGTTGGGTTGTGGGTATAATATTAATTTCACTAAGTACTGCCAGATTGTTCTGCAGAATGACTATGCCTACTTTTCTTCTATTAGCTATGCATTAGTGTTCCCATTTCCCCACGTTCTTACCAGTACTGTGATTGTTGGACTTTCTAATAATTTCCAATTTAATAGATGTAAATTAGTATCTTGTTTTGATGTAAGACTAGCACATTTGAGCATCTCTTCACAAATTTATCAGGTTTCTCCTGTGAACTGTCTACTTAAAATCGCTGTCAGTGGATTTTCCTATATTTTTTTTTTTTTTTTGCTGATTTGTAGGACTTTCTAGATATGAATCCTTCATCATTTACAAATATCTTTCTGTCACTCAGAGGTTCATCTTATCTTTAAATTCTTCATTTAACAGAACTCAATTAATTTTAATCTAGCCAAATTCATCAGTTTCTCTCCCAGGGCTTGTACCTTTTTAGTTTTGTCTAAAAATTGAGATCACAAAGATATTGTCCAATATTTTCTTACATTAAGTTTATAATTTTACTTTTCACATTTAAGTCTTCAATCTATTTGGAATTTATATTTTTAATATGATGGAGTAGGGATCCAACTCCATTTCTCCATACTGTGAGCTACTTTAAAAAATTTAATAAACTTTTTGAAGGGCAGTTTTTTTAAAATATATTTTACTGATTTTTTACAGAGAGCAATGGAGAGGGATAGAGAGTTAGAAACATCGGTGAGAGAGAAACATCGATCAGCTGCCTCCTGCACACTCCCCACTGGGTATGCGCCCGCAACCAAGGTACATGCCCCTGACCGGAATCAAACCCGGGACCCTTAAGTCCACAGGCCAATGCTCTATCCACTGAGCCAAACTGGTTAGGGCTGAAGAGCAGTTTTAAATTTACTGCAAATTTGAGCAGAAATTACAAGAATTTCTGGATACTTCCTGTGCCCACACACACACAACTTCCTCTATTTTCAACATGTAGCAGCAGAGTGGTACATTTGTTACATGAACCTACATTGACACATCATTACCATTCAAAGTCCATAGTTTATATTAGGGTTCACTCTTGGTGTTGTACATTCTAATGGTTTTGAGAAATGTATAATGACATGTATCTACTAAAGGCATTGTACACTGTAGTATTGTACTGAAGAGTCATTTCTTCTGTGCTCTCCCTATTCATCCCCCAACCCTCCAAAAAAACTTGGCAACCATCAGTCTTTTAATATAATCACTTATTAATTCCAGGAGTTTTTGTCTTTTTTTTCAGGTTTCTCTACATATTGTCATGTCACTTATGAACAAAGACTTTTATTTTTTCCTTCTCAATCTATATACCTTTTATTTCCTTCTCTTGTTTTAGTGGATTATCTAGGACTTCCAGTAACATGTTGAAAAGTAGTGGTGAGAGGGGATCTTAACAGGAAAGTTTCAAGTTTCTTACCAGTAAATATGAGATTAGCTATAGGTTATTTTTTGTAGATGTTCTTTATCAACATCTTGATTGAGGACATTCCTCTCTATTCCTAGTTTGCTGAGTTTTTAATATGAATGTATATTGGGTTCTGTCAAATGCTTTTTCTTTATCTATTAATATGATTATGTGATTTTTCCTCTTTATCCTGATCATGTGATAGATTACATTTATTGTTTTTAAAAGTTGAAACAACTCTGCATACTGGGATAAATCCCACTTGGTTGGGTGTACAATTCTTCTTATATACTGTTGGATTCAATTAGCTAATATTTTCTCGAGAATTTTTGCATCTATGTTCATGAGAGGTACGGATCTTAGTTTTATTGCAGTGTCTTTTAGTTTTAGTATTAGTGTGATGCTGGCTTCATAAAACGAGTCGGGAAGTAGAGAATAGGTATAATTTCTTCCTTAAATGTTTGATGGAATTCACTAGTGAACCCATCTGGGCCTGGTGCTGTATTGTAAGGTTATTAATTATTGATTTAATTTCTTTATTATAAATAGGCCTATTCAGATTGTTTATTTCTTCTTGTGTGAGTTTTGGCAGATTGTGTCTTTCAAGGAATTAGACAATTTCATCTAGGTTATCAAATGTGTGGGCATAGAGTTATTCAGAATATTCCTTTGTTATTTTTTTAATGGACATAAAATTTGTAGTAATGTCCTTTCTTTCATTTTTGATATTAGTAATATGTGTTCTCTCTCTTTTTTTCTTAGCCTGACAAGAGGCTTATGGGTTTTATTTATCTTTTCAAAGAGCCAGCTTTTGGTCTTGTTGATTTTCTCTATTAATATCCTAGTTTTAATTTCTTTGACTTCCACTCTAATTTTTATTATTTATTTTCTTCTGCTTACAATGAATGTAATTTGATTTTCTTTTTCTTATTTTCTAAGGTGGAACCTTAAATTATAAATGTTAGATCTTTATTCTATCCTGATATGTACATTCAATGGTATAAATTTTCCTCTAAGAATTGCTTTTGCTGCATCCCATAAATTTTGATAAGCTGTATTTTCATTTAGTTCAATAGATTTTAAAATTTAGCTTGAAGTTTCTTTATTCACCTGTGTGTTAGTTAGAAGCATGTTGCTTAATTTCCAAGTATTTGAAGATTTCTGTTATTGATTTCTAGTTTAATATCATGGTGGTCTGAGAGCAGTCATTGTATGCTTCCCATTCTTTTAAACTTAAGGTGTGTTTTATGGACCAGAATGTGGTCTATGTTGGTGAATGTTCCATATAAGCAGCGGTTCTCAACCTGTGGGTCGCAACCATCGGAAAACACAGATAGCATATCAGATATTTACATTATGATTCATAACAGTAGCAAAATTACAGTTATGAAGTAACAACGAAGATAATATTATGGTTGGGGGTCACCACAACATGAGGAACTGTATTAAAGGGTTCGGGCATTAGGAAGGTTGAGAACCACTGCTTTAGAAGAATGTGTAATCTACTATTGTTGGATGAAGTAGTCTATATACATCAATCATATCCAGTTGATTGATGGTATGGTTGAGTTCAAGTATATCCTTATGGATATTCTGCCAGCTGGATCTGTCCATTTCTGATAGGGGTGTTGACGTCTCCAACTATAATAGTGGATTCATTTATTTCTCCTTGCATTTCTACTAGTTTGCACTTCACATTTTTTGATACTGGTTGTTAGGCACATACATATTAAGGATTGTTATGTCTTCTTCAAGTATTGACCCCCCCTTATCATTTTGTAATTCTCTTTTTATCCCTAGTAAATGTCCTTGCTCTGAAGTGTGCTGTCTGAAATTAATATAGCTATTCCTGTTTTCCCTAAGGTGGAACCTTAAATTATAAATGTCAGATCTTTATTCTATCCTGATATGTGTGCTGTCTGAAATTA